TATGAATACCTTGTTGTAGCAAAAGCCCCTGGCAGAAACACTTCACAGGATCCTGTGCAAAACACATGCAGTAAAAGTACTTGAAAGTATTTTTTCATAGTATTTTCAGATGCTTTTGTTCCAAAACTTTTTAACCGTCTTCTCTATTTTCCAAGAGCTATACAAAAGTGCCTTTGACTAATGTGAAAAATTATACATTCTATAAAGTTATGTACCATATAAATATATGAATGCTGACTAATTAAATGACCAAAAGAATTAGTGCTGGGCAACGATTAATCGCGATTAATAGCATCCAAAATAAAAGTTTTTGTGTACATAATATATGTGTGTGCTGTGTATATTTATTATGTATATAATATAAATATACACACATGCATGTATATATTTAAGAAAAATATGTTATGTTTAAATATATTTAAATATAATATAAATTATATGAATATAAATATATACATGTAAATACATGTACATATTTTAAAATATATACTGTATGTGTGTCTCTTTATATATACATAATAAATATACAGTACACACATATATTATATAAACAAAAACTTTTCTTTTGGATGTGATTAATCGCGATTAATCATTGTCCAGCACTAATACATATGAACTTTTATACTTTCTTCCAAAAGTTTTGTTGCTGCATTCTCTATTCCCATGGCTGTACACAATTATTGACATTTCATTTATAGTTTTCAGTTTGCTGTGTTGTTAAAACTATGTAAAACTTGGGAAAACCTTTCACTGACTGAAATTCAGACCTCTTTAAGTGCAAACTGCCCTATTTTAAAATGAATATTTGTATCAGTAGACAACCTTGGAATGGACCAGACTGAAACTTGAGATCGAACCTAAGCAGAATATCATGAGAATAATTGAATGATTGTATACTTGTCTTTTAAACTGAGTCAGTGGAATTATGAGAAAGTCCAAATATTATTATAAAATCAGCTTATACAGTATGCAATGTCTTCTTCACAAAACAAGGTGCCAAGTGCATATACCACAGCTAGATCTACAGCTAAAAGAATGAAGTTTCAGCTGAAGGAGCTTTTACAGGCGCCTGGCAAAGTATCAGACCTTTTGAACTTGCTGTGTTTGCTGCTGGTGATGGGCGGTTGCCAGAGACACATATCAGCATGTGGATCAGGAAAAGAAAGATGTTCTCATGTTGAAATTAGGACTGGGCGATATTGCTAAAAAATGTATCAACAATATAATTGTTCATATTGTTCGGTATCGATAATTATTGACATTTTTTATAACCTTATTTAAAAAAAAGAGCAATAGAAA